AAGATGATCCAGGAGAGGCAGATGGAAACACATTCAGGACCCAAACTTTGTTGTCCTTTGATGAGCATGACACTGGATTAAATGGATGAGAAGGTCTAAATGTGACGTTTCTCATACTCTTGTCTCATGTACTGTTTCTATTCTTTCTACCCCAAGTTTCAGGAGGAAAGGAAGTTTCTGAGTCCTCTAAGAGACAGTGAAGCCAAAAAGAAAAAAACAAATACAATGAAATTTCAACTTAGTATATTTTCCTTTTACGGGAAAAACACCATCAGTTTTTTACTGGTAGGACTCATAACACTCTGTACCTGCAGATCCATTCATTGGACATTCGTGAGCAACAGGGGTCCCGTGTCCTGCCTTGGTGCAGGTGGCATCCCCACACTTACCTGGCCCCACTGACATCGACTCCGACCATCAGCTGCCCGTTCAGGGAGAGGATCTCATCCCGCAGTCGGACCTTCCCACTCTTCCCCGCCGGGCTGTTCTTCCTCAGCTCCGTCACCCAGATGCAGCCCACGTCCAGCACAGGGCCCTGGTGGGTTTTCCTCTTCTTGCCCCCTCTGCGCCTTTCACCATAGTCTCCAAAAACAGGGATGTTCCCAAAACTGAGGCCCACAGTCTCTGTGTCCCCCAGCTCCTTGGTGAGGTACACAGTACAGATCTCCATGTCTGGAGGGCTGTGGTCAGGAAGGACCACGCTCTCATCCACAGCGAAGTTCAGCTGAATGTACTCCTGCAGCTTCTGGATGGCCGCCTGGCAGAGCCGCTGCTCCGGCCCATCCCCGCCCTCCTGCAGGCTGTTCTGCAGCCACTGGCAGAGGAGGGGCAGGTGCAGCCCGGCATTGTCCTGGGTGATGGGCATGGTGCTCACTCCCGGACCTCACATCATGAGAGGTCCTGCTCCTGGGGGCCAGACCCTGTGGGGCCCCACATCCCTTGGGAACCCTGGCTGTCATCCGCTTTGCCTGTGTTCATGTTTAGGCTGGCAGATGAGCCTCAGGACGCCTACGCGAGACTGGGGAGACTGTGCTATTTGCCTTGGCAAGAAGAAGGCAGGACCCAGTTAGAACAACAGTGGAACAATGGCTCTGGATGCTCAGCAAGGGAAGGAAGGAAGTGTTCAACAAGTCCTTAATGCGTGCATTTCACAGCAGGGCCCATGCAAATGACACGGAAATGGGAGATTCCTCCAGCAGCTGCAGTGTGTTCTCCCTGGGCTCATTCACACCTGGGAGAGGAAGAGAAAAAAACAAAACATTCCAGTCACAACAGTGGGCCTTCTGACATGGCCTCCTGTGCTACAGAAGGACCTTGTTTACTTTTCATACATCAAGCCCAACCTGGAATCTATCACCTCTCCCCATTCCCCAATGTGGCTCCCTCTACACACACACACACACACACACACACACACACACACACACACACACACATACACCACAACACACACAGATAGACACAAACTCCCTTCTCTCAGGCAGATGCTGCTGGAACACTGACCTTCTCTAGGAAGTTTCCCTGATGAGCAGGGAAATGAGATGACTTCTGCTGAGACAACTCCTATCAACATACCATCAAACTCACATCTAACCAGGTAGCTGTGTGACAAAATTCCTTGGAAGGCTGTTGAGGGTTCTGGATATATGTAAAACCTCATATTCCTAGGAGGTGACAATCTGTGTCCACTTGCCTTGGACAGCCCAGATGCACACACAGGAGGACTCCCCATTCCAAAAATGCTACCGAGAGAAGAGCCAATGGGCAGCCCAAAGAGAGCCAGGATCCATCCTAGGGCAACACCATCCCTACGTTTCTCCATCAGTCCCATCTTTACCATGTAGATTCAGAGGGGGACCTAGTCCTTTGTATCCTACAGCTTTTAGTCTCCTCTCTCCTTTTCCTTTGGTAAACTGTTAGAACCAACCTATTTTTAAACCAACCTTCTCCAAACTTCTGGGTGAGAAGACATGGCCCCCACCTTTGCTCACTCTTCAACACATTGCTCTCAGTAGTGATGCCAGTCTCCGGCCAGCATTGCCAGTGACGACAGAAGGGTTTTCCCATCAGAGCTGGAGCCTTACCCGCTCTGAATTCAGCTCTGTGCCTGGCACACACTAGAAACCCAGTGAAAGGTTAATTAAATTCCACTGCCAACTTGCTTTCTCCACCAAAGAAAATGTTTACCTCCATTCTCCATAAACATAGAGAAATGATCCCTTTCACTCTCTTCTCCAAACTTTACTTTCTCCCAGAGAAAAGCAATATAAACCATGCCATCTAAGGTGGAAAACATTCGCCAACCTTCTCAGGAAGTGATTTAACAAGGAATAATAATGCATGGAGAGGTGTCAGAAGCCATGTCAATAATAAATGACCTTATTACTGAGTAACCAAAAAGAAATTTCCAATATAGTGTGCTTTGAGTTTCCAAAGAACTTGTCTGCCAGTGATTAATTGGCTTCAAATAAATCAAAAGCTTAGCAAATACCGTCTACATAATCATACAGCTATTAAAAAGAAATGCAAGATCAAATAAAAGATAATCCATATATGTACAAAGATTGAATGCTTCCTTTGGCCAAAATAAGTAATACCTCTCACTGAAAAATAACTTCACACACAGAGCATACATATTAAAATCTTATTAATAAATCAAAGCATTTTCCATCAGGCCTAACAACATTTATGAGTCTTTTTTTTCCTCATCTGTAAAATAAGTAAAACTTTCTTATTAAGTGATCCCTAAGGTCTCTCATAGTCAATGAAGAGATCTTCCAACACAGTGATAATACCTTACTCATCAATATATTTACTACCCCAGCATAGCACCTACCACACAGTAGACTCTCAATACTTTACAAAACATTTTAAAAGATCCTTTCAATTAAAATTTTAATGGCCTGTGATTCAAGGTGTTAGTCACAGTTCAGATGGTTCTGTACATATAAAAACCAAGAACATATCTTGTCAAGATGCTCTTTAAATAAGTCTGATTAAGGAAAACCAAACTTAAGAGTGGTAGGGAATAATTTTACTGGTGTAAATTTGTATTCATTCATTCAGCAAGTATTTATTGAACATCTATCATGAATCAGGCTTTGAACTTGGCACTGGAAATATACTATTAATAAGGCCAATTTCTTGCCCTCAAGGAATTCATAGTCAAGTGGGGAGATTATGTTCATAAATAAATGGAAATTAGTGTGTAATTGATCTATGACAACTCTTTTAACAGAACTGACAGAGGTGACCATGTTCACATAATCTAACCCTTCCCAACCCTGATGAGTGGTCCAGAGCTGGGCATTTCACCCAAACTGGGATAATCAAGGTTCATCTCTGAGAACAGAGAACTGTGACTCAAGAGAGAAAAGAGTCCTAGTTTCTAGATTGTAGCAGGAACTATATCTTTTGAACTAGAGGTTTTGGATGACAATATTCTAACTCCTGTGTGAACTGAGTAGCAAAGAAAGTCACCTTGCCAAAAAATAAAATAAAGGATAGAGGTGCAGGACTGGGGAGGGGGTGTCCCCTGTCTTCCCTACTGCTTTTTTGTTCTTAGTTTCAGTCATTCTAAACCAAGCTGCATTGCTGCCCTCTCCTTTAGTCTGAAAGACTCTATCAATTCCTACAATAAATCACATTGTAAAATTTTAAGTACTTTTTATTTATGTACTTATTTATTTATTTATTTGAGTCAGAGTCTCACTCTGTCGCCCAGGCTGGAATGCAGTGGCACACTCACAGCCACCGCAGCCTCCACCTGCTGGGTTCAGGCCATCCTTCCACCTCAGCCTTCCAAGTAGCTGGAACTACAGGCATTCACGGCCACGCCCAGCCAAATTTTTGATTTATTGTAGAGATGAGGTCTCACCATGCTGCCCAGGCTGGTCTTGAACCCATGGACTCAGGCAATCCTCTTGCCTCTGCCTCCCAAAGTATTGGGATTACAGGCATGAGCCACTGTGCCTGGCCAATTTTAAGTACTTTAGAAAAAAGGTAAGTAAAAACAAAAATTTAAACAAAAATGGACTTTATCCTGAATTATTTTCCACTCTTTGTACCTAAAAAAAGTTGTTAACTAAGCTGGACGTGCTGGTGTGTGCCTGTTGTTCCAGCTACTTGGAAGGCTGAGGGGGAAGGATCATCTGAGACCAGCAGGCTGAGGCTGTGGTAGCCATGAGCATGCCACTGCACTCCAGCCTGGGCAACAGAGTGAGACACTGACTCAAGAAAAAAACAAAATAAATAATTTTTAAAAATTGTTAACTAATACATTGGGGGTGAGCAAAGCTGATCGGCTTAGCTTGGATTACTTGTCTAACTGTAGACCAATTAGTGTTGGCCAAGGTGGTGGGGTCAAAAGATAGCAACATGGCTGTTAGGAACACACCCTCTCACCCTGAAACCTGGTCAGTGCAGGGAAGCAGTTTTCAGAACAGGAAAAATTGTTGCAAGTGCATGGACACCCTCAAAGATACTTACTTTTATTCTTAGGTGTCCATTGACTACACAACCTTTCAATCCCATACCTATAACTGAAAATTTTCAGTAATCCTTCCAGTCTCTTGTTCTATCAACTCATTTTCCTGCGATTTTCTATGAGAGAAAGTAGAGGCATTCCCATCCTCTTGCAATGAACTGATTTTGACTCAAGGCATAAGAAAAGATAGACAATTTGGTTATACTATGAAAAGTGGTTCTTCCACCACACCCCATGAGACATTAGAGTAAGCAAAATTTTCACCTAGAGAACAGAAATCTGCAGCTACAAATACAGACATTCATCAATGGTGAGTCTCTGCAAAGGTGTAAAAACTTCCCATCCTGAAGATCAGTCCATTCCAACAATGACAATTTGTGAACACAGAGGATCATTGCAACAGCCCATTCAACTCTTGTCTATCGTATATAATTCTCCAATTAGATATCCATCTCAAGCAAATAACTGTGATAATTTAAATTAATTTTGAGTAGCTTGGAGCTGACAGCCTTAGCATTCAAAATAAACGCTTCTGCTACCGAGATAATTTATTGATATGGTTTTAGAATCTAAAATTAGCTTGCTTGGATCCCCTTCCAGTTAAGTGGTGCATTCTCAGTACAGGTCACACTACTCACAAAGGGGTGAGAATTAGCTCTAGGGGTAGTCAAAAAAAACTTAACTATTATCATGGTTAGCAGACACCATCCCTTTCCATCTGCTGCCAAAGCTCAATCTGACCTGACAAAATCTTATGACTTAGTATTTAATTTCTTGTGTGAGAGAGAAGTTAAATTTAATTTTTCTCCAGGAGGATACAGAAATTCAGAGTCTAAATCCTTAATCTGGCAGAGCATATAAAAGGGTCCTCTGGTTAACCCAGACCTTGCCTCAAAAGCAGATTCACATTGGGCTATCAGGTACCAGCTCCCTCTTCCAACTGTCCTGGCTTCTAGGTGTTCTATTCTGACCTGGGTCAAGTTCTAAATTTCTCAACCTTCATCTAACCTTCCTATGCTTGGGACTAAATTCCTCATCTAACTTTTGAAAATGTTCACACTTTAAAAGGAAACCAATGTCCATTAAATATCTAGAAATTATTCATTCAACAAATGTTCATTTAGGACTCATCATTCCCCGGGTCCCAAACAAGCCAGACAATGTCCTACAAAGCTTCAGGAAGCCTGTGCTCTGATGATGGCAGATTAGAAAACAAATGCAAAATACTGTCATGTCACAGGGTGATTAGTACTGTGGTGATAACTATGGTAGTGTCAGAGGATAGGGAGTGATGGAACTAAAGGTGACGAAGGTGATGGGAAAAGGCCTCTCTGAGACGGTGACATCTGAGGAGAATAAATGCAGGGAGACGCTTGAGCCACAAGAGTATCTTTGAGCATGTTGTTCTAGGTGGAGGAAACAGCGAGTGCCAAGGCCCTGAGGTGAGAGCTCTCTTGGCTGCCCAAGGATGAAAATGGATAGATGTGCTGCAAGAGAGAATGCAGAGGAAGTGCTCCCACTGTGCTGGGAGCTTCCTCATTATCTTCTCCTTCCCCCAGCCCCTAATCCTCACAACCAACCATTTTATCAACATTGGCTAAAAGCTGATGTATTTGGAGCATAACATGTGTCCGACACTGTTCTAAATAAGTATTTTCCATGGATGACTTTAACTGCTACCACAGTGCTGTAGGGAGACACTGTTAGTACCCCCCTTTTATAAGCCCAGATAAATAACAGGATCA